GACGTCTGGCGGTGGGAGCTGGACGAAAAGGAGAGGCTTTTGAAGGGCTACAGAATCCAAGTTTTCAAGCACTTGGGTTCTGTTGATGATCTCCAGGGGGAGGTGGCCCAATTGAAGGGAGAGGTTGCCCATCTGCAGCAAGGGATTTCTGAGTGGGATGGTCGACTAACCTCTTTGGCTGGGGAGGTCGAGTCCGAGAGGCGCCTAAAGACATCGGCCGAGGAGGATGCTAAATCGAGCCGTTTGCAAGTCAAACAGCTAAGGCGAGATCTTAAGGAGCGGTCGACTCCTCCGACGTGCACAACAATTGTCAAGGACTTGGAGGGTCGGCTTGCTCATCTGGACTCGGCACAGCATAGGAAGGAGGTTGTCGACGAGTGGTATCATGGCCTTCTAGACAAAACTGAGGTAGCATTGGCTTGCAAGGTCGGCATCGACTATCTCACTTCGCTGCTCCCCTCTAGCTCTATTCCCTCCCTCGATCGCCGTTATCCCCCTCATGTCTCTTGCTGTCTTGATCTCTTGGAGGAGAATCGATGGACGAAGTGAGTGGGGATGGATGGCTAGCCGCTGGACGTTAGGGGTGAATGACGAGGCCAATGGACGATTCAGAAGAGAATTGCTCCGCTTCCTTCAGTTGTGCCGCTGAGGCTCCCTGCAGAGTCCGTTGTCGTTTGCGGAGAGGCCTCGCAATTCCTACTCCGCGAATCTGGTCTAAGAAGTGCTAGGGCTTAGGCTTGTGTTTGTACTCTCTCGTCGTCTCTGCGATCTCGTCCTCCTCGCTTACTCGTTTCTCTCGGTCTCGCAGCGTCCTCTCTCTCTCTCCCTCCCTCCCTCCCTCCCTCCCTCTCTCTCTCTCTCTCTCTGTGTGTGTATATTGACATGCTTTGTAAGTACTTTGGCATGGATATTGTAAAAAGTTTGTAATGAAGTTTGCACTTTGGAATAGAAATCGACTTTATTCTCATTTTTGAGTCTGCTGTTATTTACTCCTTTGCTTTGCTAATTTGGAGCTTTGTTCTGATTGAGAGAACCAAGTATTGATTGTGATGAGCCTGTCATATCATGTCGACTTAAATGTAGAGGGATCGAGACTTCATTTATTACTTTCTGCTGGCTGTGTTTGGATCTTCAGCCGACAAAGGTTTGGCAAATAGTATCGCCAAAATCGTGTTGTCGAGGAAATTCAAACACTTAGGCTCCAACCTTGGGTTTGTTTTTAGAACAACACCAAGGTCTGTTTGATAGAATGACAACCCTGAGGTTGAGTTCCTACGACTTACGTAGACGCCCAGGTCTTCAATATAGCCATGATGGTCGAGAGGCGACTGTGAGAGTCAACCATATAGTGAGTGCCTTGGGTTTATTCTTAGAAAGGTACCAAGGACTTTTAATTCAATTGAGAGGTCGAATGTCTAGGACTTACTGAAGTCGACTAGGTCTTTCGCCCTACGGGGATCTGCCTTGATAGCAATTAGGTAAAATGGCAATCCTGAGGTTACGTGCCCAGGTCTTACGTAGACGCTTGGATCTTCAGTATCCCCATAATGGTCGAGAGGCGACTGTGGAAGTCGACCATATGGTTAGTGTCTTGGGTTTATTCCTGAAAAGGTACCAATGGCTTAATATCCAACCTAGGTTGGATGCCTAGAACTTACTGAAGTTAACTAGGTCTTTAACAACCCTGAGGCTGTGCCTAGGACTTGCTGAAGTCGACTAGGTCGTTCGTCCTACAAAGCGCCCTCCTGAGTGGAAAATGATTAAATGGCAACCCTGAGTTTAGGTGCCCACGTCTTACGTAGACGCCTGGGTCTTCAGGATCTCCATAATGGTCGAGAGGCGACTGTGGAAGTCGATCATATGGTTAGTGTCTTGGGTTTATTCCTGAAAAGGCACCAAGGGCTTAATATCCAACCGATGTTGGATGCCTAGAACTTACTGAAGTTGACTATGTCTTTAATAACCCGGAGGCTGTTCCTAGGACTTGTTGAAGTCGACTAGATCTTTCGCCCGACAGAGGGCCACCCCGGGGGTAACTAGGTAGTATGACAACCCTGAGGTTGGGTGCCTAGGTCTTACGTAGACGCCTAGGTCTTCAGTGTAGCCATGATGGCCGAGAGGCGACTGTAGGAGTTGACCATATGGTGAAAGTGTCTTGGGTTTACCTTGAGAAGAAGCACTAAGGGCTTAGGATCCCTGCATAGACTGAGCACTACGAGAGTGCGAGACAGGATTCGAGTCAGTTTCAATAACAATTTTATTAAGGCTAAACAAAATTTACAGTTATAGAAAATATCACCTCAAATGCTTGATATTTCAAGGATGTTGTAAAACTCTCCCGTCTGGGGCCCTTAGTCGATAGGTGTCGGCTCGTAGCTCTTTTAGGACTGTGTAAGGACCTTCCCAGTTAGGAGCTGGCTTTCCTCGTTGAGGGTCTTTGTCGAAAGCGGTTTTGCGGAGGACAAGATCGCCAGCATTGTATCTCCTTGGTCAGATTTTGTTGTTATAGTAGCGGACGATTCGCTGCTGATTGGTGACTTGAGCCTGAAGCGCTTTCTCTCAGATCTCGTCATGGAGGTCGAGGCCGATCCGAAGTCCTTCTGAGTTCATGCTTTCGTCGAAGTGTTATAGTCGAATGGTCGGCATGCCTACTTCGACGGGAGTGATTGCCTCGGCACCATATGCTAGCTTGAATGGAGTCTCTCCAGTTGAGTTCTTGTGGGTCGTGTGGTACGGCCAAAAGATACTAGGCAACTTTGGTGATGGAATTCTTTCTGAGAAATATATTCAAGAAGCCGGAGTTGTTCTTTCTAGAAAGACAACCAAAGAAGACCTCTCTAAAAAGACGACATGATGCTCATCTTTCGAGAGTCTTTTGAGGGTATGGGAGCTCGTCCATCCTATAGATGACTAGCTGGTAAATACTCCCAAAATGGTTGCTAAAGCTGTAGAGGGGCATGATTATGTCGATTCCTCTCAGCCAAAACCATTTTCTGCTTAGATTGAGTGACACAACTTCGGGGTCGAGCTACAGGATGAGACTGATTAGACCCTTGTTCAGAACTTGACATATCTTCTCGAAAAAGAGAGGAAACCCTATGGTGGGTGCCAAACTGTTGATGTTCTAGTGATCACACAGTCAGTATGTATCCAGGGTAGGATAATCTCGATGAGGTAAAAGAGATTGATGAAGAGACCGCCTCCTTCTCCGACTTTATGTCTGTTTCTTGAATTAGAGAGATGAGAAATATGCACATGTAAGAACTCGTGAGAGAGCGGGGATCAGTTCCCCCGTTATACCTCCAACGATCAAGTTAGACCATAAACTTGAGTGGAAGAAGAAGCAGAACTTAAAAGTTCTCCTTCTCTTTTTTTTTGGAATAGCCCCCCCCCCCTAAAAAAAAGGCGAATAGTACATGTATATATATTGTGGGAGAAGGGTAGATTGGACACTTTGGCCGAGTACGGAGAAGTGAGGATCTTCTCAGTATTAAATGAGAAGAGAAAGGGAGTATGGGCTGGTGGCTGTGTTAAAACCCACTTTACAGTTGTCGGTAGGTGGTTGTGGGAAGGATCACTTCAGCATTGGAGAGATTGTCTCAGCATCGAATGGAGTGTGATCGGCAGCGTGGTAGAGCCCATGTGATATGACGAGTCATGAAGACTATCGGGGCTAGGGTCATGATGGGACTTGTCCAGTGTTGACCGCAGTGTTGACACATGGCCAGGAGAAGCACGAGGCAGATATTATCCTCTAGTTTCACCGAGAAGTAAATCCTATCGAGTCGCCCTCGTAGGATATTGAATAAAAAGGTCGAGTGGGCCCCAGGCAAGTCGACTTCGACAAGAGGGTCGACTGGTCCCGACTCTTGAGTCGTCATGAAGAGTATTGACTTGACGAGTCGGCCAAGTTTGGACCTCCGCTGGGCTTGGGCCACCAAGCCAGTTGGGGCCTTGCTTGCGGAAATACACCCGCCCGTTGTTTGGTGAGTTGTATTTTGACGAATGGGAATATCATAACACACACTATCTTAACCCACTCCATTTAACTAAAACCCTAACACTACACGCTTATAACTCTAACCCTAACCTCTCAATCTCACCTCCCTTCTGCTCTCCACTTCTAACACTAACCTCTCGAGCTCCACCACTTCACTCCACGAGTTTCGACTCCTCCCTCCACCATTTCCTCCGCCTCTTGTTTTTAGCACCTCGGACTCTCACCTACTCTGCCTCCTCCTCCTGCTTTAAATTCTCGTCTCCACCAACTCCTCAGCTATCGAAGCTCATTCGACCACCTCCTCTCAGATCCCCTCTAACCTTCTCCTCTTGTCTTCACCTCTCGATGAAACTTTAGCAACCCTCGAGTTTCAGCCCTCCACTGCCAAATCAGCCCTTCACCACGGTAAGCTCCGGCAGCCGCAACCCTCGAGTTTCAGCCCTCCACTGCCAAATCAGCCCTTCACCACGGTAAGCTCCGGCAGCCCAAGTCAGCTCCTCAAGCTTCAGCCCTCCACTGTCTATAGCATTTGCATCGAGCTCAAGCTAATATCTCGAGCAAGCTAGACCGCTATTTGACTTTGCGCTTTTCGTTACTATATTGCCGTTATAGGCCCCAAATAGTCTTAGTTGTGCCACACCGCTACGCGATGCTATCCGCTATTCACAACCTTGCTACAAAGGGTCCATTCAACGCAATATAACCACAATTGGTCTATTCGTAATTGGGTGATGCTATAGGGGTCTATTCACAATTGACCCTATAGAATAAGAACGGATTAGGTAGATATCTTGTTAACTCAACGCCTTAGCTCTTGACCAAAATAATTGCATGGTTAGTGTAAATATAATATAGCTCAAGTTGAGGCCACTTACCATGTATATAGTTAGTTGATGATCTAGCGATGGAAATTAATCTCATAATAACTCGCCGCTCATTCTCTCCCATCTACCTCATAAATTGATCACCCGTATCATCTGCATACATAAGCACCTCCCCCTCAGCTCCACACAAGCATCACAAGCAAATCTATCTTTCCATTTATTTGCAATTCCCATCTCTACCAATGGCACACTCTTCTCTCGTCAAACTCTCCCTCTGTCTGCTGGTACTGCTATCACTGTTCGTTCAGTCAACAGTCGGAGGGCGCCCAGTCCCTGCGTCCAACGACAAGAAGGAAACAGAGTGTGAGGGACGGGACGGAATTAACCTTCTCGGAGGAGCTGTTCGTATCGGAGGAGGAGGTGTTCGTATCGGAGGTTTACCTTCGATTGGGACTGGGAATGGTGGTGGTGGTACCGGTGCTCTTACTCGTGCAGGCTTCGGCAGTGGCAGCATTGGTGATTTGGATCACAGTGCCCCTGCTGCTGCCCGTCCTCGGTACCTTCCTGGTAACGATGACACTTTTGTTCCTAACCCGGGTTATGAAGTTCCTAATCCTTTCCGTGGTTCATCCCCTAATCCTTGAAATTGAATTAAGCACTGCAACACTCAAAACTTTTTTAGTTATATTGTGATGTATGTTATTATCATCATCTAGCTAGTCTGCTTACTTTCAACAAAAACAAAATAATAATATTATCAACAATAATAATGTTGGGTGGTGTTGCTCTCTCTCAACGACCTAAGGGATTGGTATACGCTCAGCTCAGTTCGGCCGAAGGAACCACGAGTTGGTTCCTGGTTATCTTCTGGAATTTGTCACGGTGTCAGTCAGCTACATTCTCGTACATGAAGTCAAATGGAAGTGTGTTTATGTATTTTGTAACTAGTTTCAATGAATTGTTATCGCATGAGAAATTTATGTGGATAATTACTATGTTGCTTTTTCTCACTACTCGTATTCATGCATCTTTTACTTTATCCGACCGCAGCAGCTCAAACTTTACTCCGGATTATTGTGAAGAAATCCTCAAGATAACTTTATGAGACACAATTAACTCGGCTATCTAATCCTTTTTAGTCTCCTCTCTGTGTAAGCAAGCTCAGTATGTTCGAATTTGAGGACCCTCACCTCCTACATCTCAGATGCATTATCCTGCTTGTGATGAAGATGGTGCAGAGAGAGCTTAATATGTTTAAACACAAAAGGTTGCATTATGGAATTTCCTAAACTAAAAGACATGCCAAAAAAAAGGATTAATTGCACATAGACCACCCCCCCCCCACAGTATAGCGTTTCATAACCTATTATCCCTGTAATTTGCTTTTGACAGATATTAGGCGCTTTTTTTTTAATTACACTAAGGGGTCTCTTTGAACAAGGATAATTTTCCGTTTTATTTGAGGATAAAAAGTCCAAAAAATTCCACTCACGGCTACCAAAATCAAACAACAAAAATAATAAGTTTCAAAGCGCAATACTACAAAGCATCAGTGTGAAATGCTTTAAACTAGTTTAAAATGTGCTCCAGACCTGTCATTTATCAACATTAGAACGGGGCTAGATCCAAATTGTATTGGTTGTTCTTTATGCAAGGACTCCCCAAGGTGAAAATGACATCCTACCAACTCCTCAACCATATTGTTGACCTCCTGATTAAAGCAAGTTTCTAACTGCTTCATGCTCATTCTTCATTTACTTCTCACTAAAGCACCCGAATGTATAGTATAACCTCACTAGGTAAGGTGTTCAAATGCCAAGAATGATTTTATTTTCACGCTAACATGATGGAATAATATTAAAAGAATGTATTGTTGGGATATCCACTCTTCATACTTCAGATGAACTCGCTTGAGCTCAAAACAAAAAAACAAAAAACAAAAACGAAAAAAACAGAAACTTGAAAAAAAAGAAGGGATGGGTGGAAAAGAGAAGATTATCTAAGAATCAAAATGTATTGCTTGTTCTGTAGTACATGAATTCTTTAGGGCCGTCTACAGACATACAAAATTGAAGATTTACACGTCACAATTAATTCAGACATTTAAGTATACTATAATCAGGGTGCCATAATTTGAGGGCCTTTCATGCCGTTTGCAAGTGGAAGATTAACATGGAGTGTGAATCATTCATGGTGGTCGGGCCCGATCATCATCGCATTGAAATTTTGGCGATTCTAGTTTCTTCCTGATTAATTTAGCTTTTCTCACAGAAAAAACCACCTTAATGCGGTGACAATACGGAATCCACCATAAAGTTCAATCACAAAGAAGCCACCTTTAAAGAGAGTTCCAATAGCAATCAATCGCTGTGACCTATTTTTTATGAATTGCCACCCCAAGCCCCTTTAAAGGTGGTTGATTGCTATTGAAGCCCCTTATTAAGGTGGTTTCTGTATTCATTGAACTTTAAAGGTGGTTTTCATATTTCCCATCTATTTTCAAGGTGGTTTCTATGAGAAACACTTGACTTAAGTTGCAGATCCCTCCTCCTTCAAGGTTTATACATTAATAACATTTGAACAAATAGAAAAAGTACATACCTCATTTGTACATGCATTGACTTGTTAGACTGTTAACAACAAGCCAAACATGGTTAATACAGGTGTACTAATTCCTCTTGCAATTGTGTCCACCATATTCTATCTGCTTACAGATGGCGAATTTTTTTCCTTTTTTTCGAGTTCCTTATAATATACAGACTATACGGCATCCATATACAATTACTTTGTCACCTATTGATATGGAAGCATCCCACCAACAAAGGTTTGTTGGCATTTGCAGATCTGCTTTGTTTACTCCTGGAAATATATAAAAAGAATAACTAATTAGTTAAAGTAACATAATATTAGAGATAAGCAATTATTAACACCACGGATTGTGCCCAAACAATGTTTTAACAAAAACCAATTGCTGCATTACCTCAGGAGGTCTTGTGTTCGACTCAGGTGCTGACTCCAAATGTCTTGCTTCAGATTTCTCATTTGAATATCTGAAATTGGGGGGCAAAGAGCATAAATTTTAGAAACCAACATCCATGCTTAAGAACTCACATTATAATTAGTTGCACTGAAACTCCAGATTCAGTCGACCGAAGAGAAAAATAAGGATGGCTTACGTTGATAGAATGGTAACCCAAATCAGCTCCACGCAGTCGACCCAAAGAAGTCTCTGCTCAATTGGGATAACACCATAGGTAATTAAATGCGCAAAAGGCCAAAGCTTCCATCCAGCCTGTTAAACCGAAAGGAAAAAAACAGTCAATACCAATATGCTAACATTCCATATAAGTTTGCATCTGATAAAAAAATCAACCATAATATTTTTCCTCTGTATTACAAGAGACTTTCAGTGCATGGTTGTGATAAGAGAAAGGAGCAAGGCCAGTACACCATACTATTGACAATGACTACCTCAAAACATGAACAAAGCTGAATTCTTGGGTGAGGCATGCACCTCTCACTCTGGTGTGTTCAGCAAGAAAAATTATCCGAACAGAAAGGCTACTGAGGATAGTCCTCCCATACTATCGCCAAATTGTGGATAGACCCTAAGGTACTTCAATTGTTGCCAACAGAATTCTCAACTCCTTTTAGTTTTCCCATTTAAGTCAGTAACATGTAATGATCATAAAGAAATTTTCATAGTAAGTAAATGAGTTTAAGGAGTCATATGTTCCAGAAGCCTACTCTTATTGTGAAACTAACAGAGTTGAGAATCCAGGGAGGTCTACATGCAACAATAGAAGTACAGGGGCTCTATCTGCAATTTGGCTATAATACAAGGGGTCTATCAACAATTGAACTTGAAAAGAATGACAAAGAAGCCCTTGTTGAAACATCAACAAAGGGAAAAGCAGTGCTCACTGTTAGCATAGGCCAAAAGGTAGCTTTCAGTTCACTGAAAATGCTGACTGGAGATTCAAAACGCAAGAAACCCAAGAACACATAATAAATGCTGTTCCATATTGCTGCCCAAACTGTTTGATCGAACAACACCTTAGCAGGAATTACCCACCAATCATTGTAAGGAAAAAGAGCCTGGAAAGAAGAAGTGATCAGATACCATCTAGTAAACAATTCGCAGAAATCAAGCAAAAAAATACTATATAAAATGAAAAATTAGTTGCAAAGCCATCAACCTCGCAGAAATAGTAGTAATAGTGCGAAAGGGAACCGTGGAGAGTAAATCCGACAAGACCAGATCTCAACATGCGAGTACGGTCAAAATCAAACAGTGGCTTGCCTTCATAGCACTGCATTAAGATATCATTAACACACCAACATAAACATGATTCTCGTATAACTGCATTAAGTTGCATTAAGACATAATTAATCCACATAGGCCAAGGAGGAATTTACCTGTGCAATCCAATCTCCTACAGAATAGACAACCCCGCTTATCATCATCTTGGCCAAGACAGGATTTGTTTTCAAAGCCTCCTCGTAGGCACTCCAGTTATGCTGGGGCGCATACCAAAGAATTTCATAGAGAGTCCAACCCTGTAAATATTAAAGCATAAGCTTATAAGGGAAAGGTTGCAACCCTAATACTGAACCAAGTATGACTGCCGAACGCAAGAAGCTTATGCAGCGATTTTCATCGAAAAGTTAACATGCAGAAGTGAATATTAATATAGACAATGGACTTGGTACTGAAAGATGAAATTCAAAACAGTGAATGGGGATAGTTTGGCATTCAAATACCTACGCGATAAAAATTCAGACCATTCATAAACCTTCAAATTCTACGTTATAACAAATTCGTTGCTATTCAAGTGATGTCCTGATGGCATGTGATTCAGTCTAGTAACCTCAAAGGAGGAATGCGATCAAAGTGATGTCTCTGGCTTTGGTGGATTCAGTTCTCTGTAACAATTGTATCATCTTACTATCACATTTTACTGACCTAAAGTTTTATTTGCAAGACTGAGCTTGAATTGGTCATAAGCTGTTCTACCTAATCGCTGACTGGTGTTTGATATTCAATCACAAAGCTGCTTCTTGCTCATAGATTCCTCTTCTAGGAATTGAGCATGAGCAATAACTCTAGATGGTTGACACCAGATAAATCACTGAGAAAATATTGGTAGCCTCTGTTGTAAAGCTCCTCAGCTTTAAGACCCCTATAGTTAAACATATTCAATTTGTAAAAGTGTTTAAAATGAGAATTATCCTAATGAATAAAGAAACATTACCAAGTTGCTCATGCAATTTGAACAATCGTTCTATAAAACATTACAAGTTGCTCGTTACAAGTTGCTCATGCACTTCTTAGTTACAACTGTGCTACACAGTGACCAAAGTATCATGAGAAGAAAATTAGATTGCGGTCATAATTATGACAATGGGTGATAAGCAAAGCCCTCCAATATGTGTGTTATGTTCAAATAAATATATCAGGATGCCATGTTTAAGCAGACTCATTAAACGATGGTTCTAAGTGATGAAATAGATGGGGAAAACCAAATATTATTCTAGGAAGATGGATCTTCAAGTTGTTGAAATTGTTAAATTGTGTCAAACTTCCATGATCATTTTTTTCTAATGAACAAAACAATTCATAGAGAACTTGTCCAACAGGAGAGAAGGGTCTGAATGTTTGATAATGAGGAAGAGAAAACTTGGAGTGACACGGAGAACACAGATGATCTGATTGTGGCTGCTGGCAAGTAATTCCCTCTCGCTCCCCCTCCCTCCTTCCTTCCAAACCCCCTCAAATTGATCCAAATATTGATGACTGAAGTCAAAGTTCATCATTTTAAATTCAATATTAGAGCATAGTAAAGGATCTGCCACATGTAGCAAGGACAATCATGACTGAACAATGACGCTACCTATGTGCGTACAACACGCCCCTTTACTTATCTGTACCCGAACTGTCTAGGTAACTTTGAACTGCCAAGTTCAATGCCTCTCAAGTCCATTACTGGCGCAGGTTCTCTCGTCTCTCGAACAGCAAATATGACAAAACCTTAGAATTCAGGATAAGGGTGTTCCATGGATAAAACAATGCATGAAATAATGTTTGTCCCTGACATGAGAGAGCATGCGCATATAATCAAACGAAAAATTGTGAATTTCTAAGTTATCGGTTTTTTTTAACCTATTAAGACGTTGATGAATTTAATTTACTATTTACTGTGCCAATATATCCATCTTGAGTTTAGCCCTCTTCCGGCCTGTACCCCTAACCAATTTGAATTGAGTTCTTCATCAAAAGGGAAGCAGGGGACTTAATTTTGTCGTTCGCTGACAGATAACCCTGCAAACTTCAGACACGAAAGGCATGTTACCCGATTCTGTTCTCATGAGAACTCCATCAGCGAGTCAATTAAACAGTTTTGCAGACGAAACTCCCTTTACCATTACTAAAAGATTCATTAGGCCAGAAGACAATCCATTCCCAGATGAAAGTCTACAGATTCGTAGACAAGATGAATACTTGTTCGCAGCAATCCAAATTAAAGAGAAGAATAGGAATACCCACATGCCAGTAGTCTCTGTCGACGGTGAGCAACTTGGTGATGGCAAAGGTACCGGCAGCAAGCACTATGGCCGCGTTGATCGCCCGGTGCACCATCTTATCCAAATCCTCTCC